TTCACACTGTTCAAAAGAAATATATATATATATATATATATCGGGAAAGTGGGTATCAGTCCTACCTCCCAAAAAAAAGTTGGAGTCCCAAACCAAACGGCGTCGTTTTTCTCTAAAAAACACAGCCCTGTTATTCGTCTTTTCTCTCAAAAATCCAGCCTCTGCTCCTCAATCATCTCTCAAAAATCCAGCCCCTGCTCCTCAGTCATCTCCATCTCCTTCTTTGCCCCTTCTGCAATCATCTCCATCGCCTCCTCACCTCTTCACTCAAAAACCTCACATCTTCACTCAAAAACCTCACCAGTAATGTCACCCCCTCTGCAATCATCTCCATCTTCCCCTCCAAAGTGTTGGCAGTACAATGGGGATGTTAAGACGAAAAAATAAATTCAAAATTCAACATGAAACTGAACGAAACCGAGAGGCAAGACGAGCAACACAACATCAGAAACAATCAAAACCATCATTAATTAGCCCACGCAAGAAAAACAAATTTAGTTCAAATCCCATTTGCAGTAATCTTTTCACAACACTAAAATTCAAATCGAAATTCTTGTTCTTGATAATGAAACAAACTTGAATTTCGCATTAAACGAACAAGTATATTTCAATCCATAATCAAATGCGGCCAAGACATAATAATAATAATAATAAAACTCATAAATTCAATTTGTGAACAGAACTCGAGAAAGGGAGAAGACGAGGAGCAGAACTCAAGCATCTTCGAAGACAACAAACCCAGATCTGGGTTTCCTCTATTATAACTAAAATTGCAATTTCAATTCTCATTATTCAATTTCAACACTATTATAATCAAAATCACAGCAACCAAACTTGCAAAACCCAAATAAATTGGTTCGCAACTCCCTCAAGCTCGTGTGACAAAGGAACACAAATCTCGATTTCTTTTGTTCTATGGCACTTCGAGCTCGTGAGGAGGCGTGGTTATGTCTCTTGGCTTCTAATCGCCTCAACCTCACATGAGGGAAAAGGGGGAAAGGGAGAGATAGAGATGATTGTAGAGGGGGCGACATTACTGGTGAGATTTTTGAGTGAAGAGGTGAGGAGGTGATGGAGATGATTGCAGAAGGGGCAAAGAAGGAGATGGAGATGATTGAGGAGCAAGGGCTGGATTTTTGAGAGATGATCGAGGAGCAGGCGCTGGATTTTTGAGAGAAAGGATGAACAGCGGGGTTGTGTTTTTTAGAGGAAAACAACGCCTTTAGTTTGGGACTCCAACTTTTTTTTGGGAGGTAAGACTGATACTCACTTTCCCGTATATATATATATATATCTCTTTTAAAGTTATACATTTTGTTATATATTGATAATTTTTATTAATTTGTGTTAAAATTAATAATTTTTGTTATTTGTATCTTTAAAATTAATTTTTTTTATTATTTTTATTATTAGAATTAATAATTTTTATCAATTTTAATAATATATTAATAAAAATTAATAATATATAATAAAATGTGTAATTCGTAGAGAATGCATGTGTAACTGTGTAAGTGTCCAAATCAAAGCCATTAATTCGCTTACAGTTGGACTTTGGATGTTTCTCGACAACCGAAATGGAAAGTAGCCACTTTGTTTAAATGATAAATAGACTAACGTCATTCTGACAAGGACCCACTTTGTTAAAAGACATAAAGAGGACTGCTACAAATAGTTGATTTTTTCTGCACTCTCTAACACTCTCAAACAAAAAAAATTTATTTTTGAATATAAAGTACTCGAACTCATTTACATAAAAAAAAATATACTCTGACTCAAGTGTTTCCTCGCCAATCAATTGTATCTTGCATGGTCCCGAGGAGATATTACAACCACTGAGATTTAAAATTTAATTTGAAAAAGTAAAACTTCGTCCTTTCTCTATATTTTTTATCCACAAAAAAAGATCTCACCTGCATTGGGTCGAATATACGATCCACATTCGCATGGTACCCCCAATGAATTCCTCTCTTTAAGTTGTTAAATTGTTTTAAGATTTGATTTTAAAATTTTTGTCATTATTTTAAAAAGTAAATTAATTAATGAAAACTTTAGTTGAGAAAAATGTTTTAAGTCTGTATTTAATCAATTATCTTATGCAGACCCAAGACCCAAGTTGTGA